AGAAAGTGGGGTATCCGACATCCAGCCTTTTGTATATTATCTTCCGAGATTAAACATGAAATTTTGTACGCACTGAAAAGAGACTAGGTCAACAAATATATGTCGTCACAAAGGATTGAATGCTTCCGTCTATAGACAAGAGCATTATGGAGTAGGCAGATGGATAGACGTTTATTGGTCTGGAGTAATACTATTCTCCTCGAGGATAAACGAATAATGCAACGACTGCGATAGCACAAAGTCGATAAATTACTTGACGATTACATCAATTATTAAAAATGGAAGAGATTAAACGCGACACTCTGTTTCCAAAAATATTAAACCGATAGTAGACTAAAAGTGCAAATCTTCCAGTCGTCTCGCATCGCGGTCGATCGTTCAAAAAAGTATTCCAGGTAGAAACGACCTCAAACAGACACCGAGCCACGGATCTCGCCATGAAACGACGTGCCGAGCGGTACGGAGAAGTTAAACGAAGCGAATAAAAGAATTAGACCAGGAAAATTGGATTCAGCTGCCTGAAGAGACGGGGACGGAAGTGGTTGAGCACACAAGAGCCGGGGACTCGACGAATGTATCAGGTGTACATCTTTAATCAACTTCGATTCGTCTTATCGAACGTATTCTTCTTTCGTATCTCCATTCACCTGGCAAACAATAACGATGACAAATCTTTGAAACGTACTCCCCGTAAACAATTAGGTACGATTTAATTGTTTTAACTAAAAATTGTAAAATCAGATACAGAAGACACGGAAACATGGTCTATTGTTAAAAAAAAAATCAAAAGCAGACAGGACTAAACACGACGAGCAAACCTTTTGCAATATTCTATATCGCCCTAGGTTTCATACATTTAAATAGATAATGCAAGTACAAACACGAGTTTACTCGTGACCGGTTAACAATGTGTCAACAATGTAAAACTTCTGCTATAATTTAAGAGCAGAGCTGCAGACTACAGACGAGGTCAAATAAACTGTCCCCTTAGGAAGTCATCTTAAGTCTCACAACCGACACAGCATATCCAATAAAGACAAAATTCACTGCGTCTTTAATACCTCCACTATCTTCCCACCATCTACGTTCAGGAACGAACAGAATACACACACCACGGCCATGGAGATTTAAAGAACAACGTCGTTCGATTTGAACGGCAGCTCCGTTTCGACCATTGTCGCCATACAACACGAAAGTTTGTTCGGCCGCGTCGAAAGGACCTCCTTGGACAGAGGGGAAAAGTTAACCCGCGCGTATAAAGGAATCGGACCGTTGGATTGGAACGTGGGCAGCAGATGGGCAGGTCGGGGAAGCGGGCGGGTGGAGAACAGGCATCTATGAGGACAAGAAATCGAGCGCTAGGAGTCCCGGGGTCGGTCGTCCAGGGCTGGTCTGGATGCCCGCGGCTGTTCTGGTTCTAAGATTACGATCATAACGAAAAACCTTCTCGCTCCCATTGGCCGTCAACTGGCTGGCCTTCTCTCTTTCCTCACTGCCACTTCCTATCCCTTCGTCTCGGTCAGTCCCTTCCGCGAGCTGTTCCCTCTTTCGTCCTCTCCCAGCGTCGTTCTCTGTATGAGAACGTCCGGCGACGGCTGCATCGCGTAGAAGCATTGCGCGCCACGGCATGCATTATGGAACGAGCGGGCAACGATTCTACCGGAAAAATTGCGGACACGCGAGACGGACGCGATCTGCAGCCCGACTACCTATCTACCTCGGTAGATATGTACCTAACCACCGACCTACCACTCCGACGCGAGCTAACCCCGGCGCTGGTCGTCGGAGAAGATTGCTTTCCTATATTGCGTCCCTCCACTGTTACGGCTCCTTTCCATTTTAGAAGAAACGCTCGAGACCCCCGCAACGTCAATGCTTCACGGATCATACGTCCGGCAGCAATAAGCAGCCTGTTCGCGAGATCCAACATCAACGGATGTCCGTCGAATTTCAACCATCAGGATTTTATTTTCGCCCTTAGCTGCGCGCTGAGAATCGTAAACGGGTGCTTGGGAAATGCGCGAAAGAAATGTCTGATCTGGAAACCATTTGTTGCATTTGAATGATTGTGGGGTGGACATTTCTTCACGAGGAAACCATCTAGATCTATAACCATCGAGAATGTAACACTACCGTGATCCTTAGGTTTTGTTTTTAAAGAGTTTTAAAAATGATGAACAATTATTTTTGGAGCAAAATTACCTGTCCGCTGAAGGCTCCTGCGGGGTTATCTCCACCGTTTGGCTGTTTCACAGTTCTACCTCCGCATAAACAAGTAAGTACTGTTGGGAGTTGAAAAGAATGGTCCCCAGGAGTACCATGAGGTAAGAGAAATGGTTCCCGACTCCGCATGTGAACTGCGTTTCCTTATACTTGCTTTAGTGGTAGTGTGTTAGGAAGAAGGCTAAGTTTAACACTGGCCAGAGGATGATTCTTTGGAAGAGCGAGAATTCTGACCAGCTCTCCCAACAGGGCCACGTTTTTCAACCCTCAACTACTCTCTAAATGCTCTACTGTGGAACAACAGCTGCAAATAAAATATACCTGCCTTCTTATTTTTCTGTCTTCAACTCTTGCGTACTTAACCAACCGTAATTACACGTAATTTTTACAGAGCGTTCGTCAATTACGCGATTAAACGCTCCGCCGAAGACTGCCATAATAATTCACAAAGAGAACTTTCAACTCGAAAGCAAGCGCCACGAAAGATGCAAGCGTATCACGTACCCCGTGTATAAATAATTTCTGTTATTACCATTAATCGCTTAAGAAGCCCTCGATTAACCTCAACCAAACACACATTCCGTCTTCCCATCGCTGGAGGTTCGTTATTCGGCGCGATCTCATCGGGGATCTACTAGACCAAGCGATTTGCGGGGCTATTAACGATCGGTCAAGGTAGCCGGGACGCAACCTTCGAATCTATCTGCAGGAAGAGGGATATTATTTCGATTAAAGCGAACGTTGCCCGAAGAGAGGCTCACGGATGGAGAGAAATTATGGCCAGTCCACGCTGGTGAAGGGTTTAGCGAGGCAAAATTGCTGTCGTTAATCGTGCAAGGTAATCAGAAAAGGAAGAACATCTGTCGCGGAGTTGACAGTGACGCAGCGTGATGCCGAGCGAATTTGTCGTCGCTGGGAAATTCTGCGCGAAGTAGCCCCCTGTGCCGCAGCCAATGATGAAACGACGCACAACGCGGCCAGCGAGGGAGGTGTTGCAAAAGAAATATGCAACGACAAATGTGCAAACGAGAAAGGGCGTGGGAGGTGGTGACGTTGCTGCTCCGTCGCTCGTCCCATTCGCGTCACGGGAAAGCCACGCAAGAGATAAAAAAGAGAGAAACGACGCATCCATCTCCCTCGGCTGGGCCCCGATGTTATGAGGAACCGGGTAAAGTGACAACAGCCGAGCAACGCCGATGAAAGGGAGGATACCGCCGTAATCCTTTTGAGTCCGGTTCTCATGAAGAGTTTGCGTCATCAGATGCGGCTGCGCAGCGACGTTTTAAATTTAACAGTGCCCGAAAATAAGCCGCGCGACCGTCCTACAAAACGTATATTCTATGCACGTACGCTTTTGTGCCTCCTCTAGCGAAATTAAACCGGTTCGAAACGATTTCTGCCGTTTCCACCTCGCGACGTCTCTCTGTCCAGGCCATGATATCAAACGACTGACTTCCACGGATCCGGAAGATACGTTTAAACGAGCCCCATTTCGACGAAACGGGAGACACGCGAGCCTGATTTTCATCGCCGGGGACTCTTCTCAACGGGGGTCGCGTGGGCCCCCCACTGGGGCCACGATGTATTTCTCAAGGGTTAAGAATGGAGGTAAAAAAGATATTAGAGGTTGTCTCTTCGGAGTAGGTCGGAAAAATGATAAAAAAGGAAAGAATTTCTATTGATAAACATGGGGGAGGTTTTATGACGACTTGGAGAATCATGCATCGATACTGGTAAGGATGTAATTTTTAAGACCATTACCATAAACTGAATATGGAAAATGAGTGGCAGTCAACATGTTAAATGGTGACCCAATTACAAATCAACCCCCCTTTAATAAACAAAATGAGTATTTTACAGGTGTTCACCTCAGGTGTTTTCACCTGTTGTAGAAACATGCATCATTTAGGGTAAGTTGGTGTTGCCATCGTGTTACGAGTAAAAATGTAAATTAGGCAAATTATTAAAATGAAACAAGGAACTATTCTCGTTTAACTGGAGGAGTCACCCAAGCCAAATAAGGTTGAGAAGTACTGTTCCACATCGGCGCGTCGGAATGGGGACACTTCGAACGGCTCTTTCTTTTTTATTATACCGCGTTTTCAGGTTAAAAGAAAAAAGATTATCCCTTTCACGGAGGAGTACGATCTCGCACTGCGAAATACAGTTTCGATAAGAGCAATACATCATGCCCGGTGACTGAAAATTGTCCAAGATAATCGTCAGCGAAAAATAAAACGACAAAGTGTCGTACAAAATGACGAGCTGCGCGTAATGACAGGCCGCTGGCTTCGGTTGGTAAGATTGATAACTATCCGATGCAGCGATCGAAACGAGAAACCCATTACTTATCCCCGAAAGGACTATCATTATGCGCGTTCCCCCACGCGGCACGGTATTTCGAACGATCTGCGCACGATTCGACGCACCGGTTCGGTAGCGTAAGAGTAATTAGTTGTGATTATTTCATGTCTACGTTCGGAAAATGAATGTAATCGTGATAGAAACGCGTACGCTGGAAACTATCGTTTCTAATTCTGCGTATTCGATACCAGGGACAATGATTACGCCTTTTTTCCATAGTTGACATCTCGCTGAAAGAATGTTTCCTGTTTTGCATTACGCTCCGCTGCTTTCTTTAAAAGACAAATATTTCCCTGTTACTCGAACTATTTTCTATTATATTGTTAAGAATTTCCAAGGAACTGGAGAAAATTCGACGCGAGCAGAAAGAGAGAAGAGCTTTTCTAGAATAACGTGCTTCCAAGGACACTCACCTGAAGATGGAGCTGTCCGTTGTTGTCGACCCATCCGATGACCATGTCAGCTGCAACACTGCCGCGGCCGTCATCCTTCGTGAAACCGAGACTCACGTAGCCGAGAGTCTTCGCTTGAATTTCGAACGTAACATCCGTCTCGCCGGGCGTCCAAAGAAGTAAGAATCTATTGTTCAAGACAGCGCTGTGTTTCCACTCGACGGAGAGGATGCCGTTGACGAGAAGGAGAACGAGACACGACGCGATTGCGGCCTTCATCTTTACGGTTGATGGCGCTTCAAAACATCTGCAACAACAGAATTATGGTGTCATTAGTGTTTTGCTGACATGGTAGCGACAAAACAATGGCACTGCATGTTCACAATAATACGTGGGAATTGAATTAACCTATCCCTTTCCTGCTTGGCTCCTTTACGACAGGGATAGGCAACCCTGGGGTCCAATGGAGGTGCTCTATTTTGCTACTATATAAATTTTACATTTTCAAACTACCGTCAGTCTCATAAATATTCGTACCCTATTTCCTCTATGTCTATTAAAGAAATAATGTAGAAATTGGAATGAATTGGTCAAACATTTTAGGATTAAGGAATGACTCGTTCCGCATAGAAAAACAATTTCAAAATCCATGAAAGTAACAATGTAAAACTTGAGAGGTGCTCATCGACAATCGCGTCCCATAAGAGTCGAGCACGGACTCCGTAAGTCGAGTTTCCACGCTAGCGACGTGTCGTTAGGCTTCTATTTAGGAGTTTTACGCGGCCATAGACGACCGAGCAATATTTTCCTTCAATATTTTAACAGCCGTGGCTCGCCATTAACCGCGCTGCCGATGCACGGACGAAGCCACTTGGCCCCCTTTAAAGCGCAAACGACTCGACGGGCTACCGTGCACGACCAGTTGTTCCTGGCCCGATCTTCCTTGTTTCGCATGCGACCCGTTTTATCGCTCTTAAGGGCACTCCCGTGTACGTCCCGTGCCCCGGTATATTCACTCGTTTCCCACGTAAAATCGTATTAACCTCTTTATCGTCCCCGTACTCGCTCCACTTGCCGCTCAAGATAGGGATAGAGAGGATGCCAACGCGACGGGTTGCACGCTCTCGAAAATTAAGTCACCGTTCGAAAATTCCTAGCTGGCTCTGTTAATCCGATTTCAGCAACTACAAATACGCCCAAACTGATTTATTTCGCCGTCCGTCGGTGCTAAACCTGTCAACCTTATTTTAAACGCGATCGATATCGATCAGAAGCAGAAGCCCTCGAAGGTTCATTAAGGCAGAAAGCGAGGAATATCTAGTCTCATCAAAAATGTAACACTCTAATGAAGCGATGCACGTTGGAAACAGAGATGAAATGGTCTTATCAATTTCCAATGAGAAACAGGGAATTTGAATAGTATATGGAGTAACATATTCTGCTTTCAAATTTTCTCCCAAATCAAATCTTCCTGTTAAAGGTATTTTCGGACTTTGATACCTAAATATACTATTAATCGAAGTATTAAGGTGCTCCAATTCAATACCAGTTATACAAATACATTTGCGGTGTTGTAAGACGTTCCTTGAGACGTCTCGATTACTAATTTTAATTCCAGACCTAACCCAGACCTAACCCTGCTCCTTCCGTGACCTACATGAACTCCGAGGATCGCAATCGTAGGTGGGAGGGGGACAAAACGGTCCGGCAGATCCGTAATTAGGATAGCCCTAGATGAAACTAGGACCTTCAGGCTGTCTCCGGCGCACCGAAGAATTTTAATCAAGAGAAACCAGGCCGTTGATCATGGAATTCGTTACGGACGTCTCTGTACGCGGTTGTCCGTCTTCAGGGTGATATTTCTTCGCGCCAGGCTGCGTTTACGACCACCTGGTACAGGTGATCGAGGTTTGGATCTACTCGTATCGTAAATTTATTTCGAGGAAACGAGGTGATCACGAATGGAACGAATCTGCCTGGAGCGATCATTTGCTCTGTTATATTCGGTGTCCTTAACCATGATTGACGTTGACCCTAATTCCTGATCCTGACGGGGTGATCCGATTATCAGAGACGACAGTGATACCGCGGATACCACCCCGTCCGGTTCTTTGTGAAAACGCGTCGATCTGACCGCTATCAATTTCACTTTGTTTCAAAGGAGTATCCCGACGTTATCACGCTTGGGTCGATGACTATAACGTAATTAACGTCTCGGGTGAATAGATGCGCGAACAAAGGGAAAAATCCCACGGTGAAACAAGAGAATGATCGTGCCACGGGTCGAGAAAAGACCCCTGAATTTATATTCGCGGCAATCAAGCAAGACGGGAATTCGAGGATGAGTGAAAGAGTCAATTTGCGCCAGGCAGCGGAATAAAACGCTGTGCACACGCCCGCTCGTGTGCGAAGCTGCGCAACGCGAGTCACGAGGATGCGACAAAAACAACGAAGGAAACGCCGATGGGACGCAAAGCGGAGGAAAAAAATCATAACACGCTGGAAAGCCTGATCAAAGGGGACAGAATTCCATTAGAGCATCGATTTCTCGTACTGACTCAAGTTTATAATTTTCTCGTTGCCAGGACGACTGCTCGGCCTGATGGAATACTTGTTACGAGGAAGCTTCGTCGTTCGCGATGAAAACGAGAGAAATAAAAATTCGATACGATTGATAGCTTCGGAGATAAAAATTCATCCGGGCAGATCATTTTTGCGGATTAGATTATCGAACTCTTGTTGGCAAAGTTCGTCGTGGCATAACTAGTGCATATTGAATAGAGCGAATCATCGATAAGAGTCGCGAAATTAGTACAGCGTGAATTTGCACTATAGAAGGGAAGAAGAATTTCAAAAAGTGCTTCATTGCGATGTCATAAAAGTGTTAAACAAACGAATCAAATAAAAATGCAAAATTCAACGACTGGGACTGCAAGCGAAACGCTTCGACGGCCCTTGAAACGGCGATTATTCGAGCGGGGAAACGGTTCGATTGTCAGGACTGGAAGGGATGAAAAAGCAGATGGAGGACCGTCCCGAAATCTCTTTTGTCCTGGCACGGCGTGCAAACATGTGCTTGGTAAATCAGCAGGACGCTGTTAAGAGAACTGTCAATTCGAAAGCAATCGATTCGATTAATAGTAACGATCGTATGACGCTTGAACGGGGTGATGCGAATCGAGGGGAGGACGCAGTTACGAAGTGTCAGACGAGTGGTGCGCTGCTGGCCATTGAACTATTCGTTTCGCGCGGCTGGGAAAGCAGAGAATTAAGCGCTTCACAGAGGGACCATCGATTGGTCAAATCTGCGAGCGCGACTCGATGTTTTTCGCACACCTGCGATTCGCGAGCATTTCGTTAGACCGGTTTCTCGACCAATGTGGGCTATTTTAGCGAGTACCTAACATGTCTTAAAAGGGGATGTTCTAGTCTGCGGAAATGTAGAAGCATCTTTGTAAATTTGTCCTTTTTCAGAAATTACAGTATTTACCAATATGATACAATTTCATAATTTGAAATATAATAGCCAGGAATAAATTGAATATACTAAAGGCTTACAAATTTAAATCCATAAAAGAACCCTCTGAAACTCGATATTAAAACAGCACGTACCGAATGATATGTGTTAATATTAAACATTCTGATATTTAATACTAAAACATTTTAATATTTACGGATCATATCACGTTGCAAACCTAAAATGGTCGTGATTATTTAAAATTAATTATAGTCGAATTACATGTTCGAAAAATTTGCATATATTCCATAAATATATAGTGTTTGTAGAGTACACGTATTCATTTGTGGATATTTATTTTTAATGAAAGAGTATCGAAATGACGGCACAGTTAGATAAAAAATCAATTTATGTCCATAGTTTTTTCTTTCGAAATTTCCAATTAATGAACCCACGTCGTTAACGCAAACTTTACGTTTCGAGCATCATCGACCATTAAAAAAGAGGTTATTTAGAATTGCATGTACAGGAAACTAGCTGACGTATGCTTGAAACTCCGTGCAGTTTCCGAGGCGTAGTTTGATTGCTGGTCGAACTTCAACTATTTGTGTGACCTTATTTGAGGCTTCTGGTCTTTGGAATCGAAGTTTCCGCGCAGTACCGCGTCAAAAACGGTTATGCTCCGGAGGTTCGTGTATAACCGGCGCAAATTACAACGTCACTTGACCGAGTTTCAATCTGTCAGTCCGAAAACTGCTTTCGACGGGAAAATTCATTTTTTCCTTATTACTCGTATCGTGCTTCGTATTCATCGCCGATATCGAGACCGTGGAAAAAAAAGAGGTAGGAGTCATTGCGTTTTTAATACAATATTTTACTCAATATTCGTTTCTCCGCGAACAACCTACGTTAATACCTACATACGCGTGCAGCAGCTTTTACGAATTTCAACAGTTTTTAATACACCATGCAGCACTCCACTTCAATTCGTCCCCAGCTTTAGAATTATACAATTGTCATTATCGTTTCATCTTTACAAATTGCGTAATTGGAGATCACAATTTGACCTCTATTGGTAAATTCATTATATTGGTTTCAGCACTACAACTTTGGAAACAATCAAACTACATCCAAGAACAATCAAACTTCAGAAACAGGTCGGAGATGAAGTACGCGAAACTTCAGGTAGATCACTATACTAAATCAAACCCCAGCCGTTTTATCCTCGTTACGGTGCGCGCTGATGGAGGTTAAAATTCTCAGGCTGGTGATTATGGTACTGTGCGCATACAGTTAATAGTTAACGAGAAATTTAATGTTAAAGTTTCGGTAGGCTTTCATGTGCCGAAGTACAAGCACAGTTTCCAAGTAGAAGCGTTGTGCAGTTGGTAAAGTGCCTGCTTACCGTGCTAATACCTTTTGGCGCAGGTTCGAACCCCGTGGAACTTTTCTCCTGTGATATATTTTTTTTCTCTTACTCGTGCTTTTCCTTTTTATTGCGTGAAACATCCTGTACCTTATCCTTTCACGCTATTTTCCATTATTTCTGTTGGCATTGAGATAGTTAAAAATGGGAGAAGTAAAGTATTTTCTCGTTTAAATAGAAATGTTATATACACATAACCTTGTCTAACATTAAACCATCGATCGCATGACCATAAAAGCATAATGACTACAAGCTCCATCGTTCAACAACAAGTTAGGAGTGCACCCTCGGTCCTTCCCTTGTCAGATTCAAACATTTCCTACGAAATCAATTTATCGGAAAACACGTGATAGGCACGCGTAATTGGAAGAGTTCCGCGCATACGTTGCCGCACATTTCCACCAACATCCGGCAAAAGCACGCC